TCTCATGATTCGTTACTGCCTAATATAATATTTTACTCTGCATATAACCTAAAAGATGGCTCTAAAAATTGAAGTTCATTCATTAAATTATATTTGCATAAGCACTGTACCATAAAGTTTTATTTATTTGCAGGAATTTGAAATTATAATTATTTATTACAGTAACAAATATAAACAAAAATGCAAAAATTCATACTTGTATCTGCGAAATAATGAACTTATTATAATTTCAGTGCAATTGCACTGCGTTTGGTTTCCAGGTATCATGAAATTTTACACTTCCTATCACATTCAATTATATATAAGTGTGTATAACTTTATATATGCAATAATATCATGTGTATTATGTGGTAATTAACCACAAATTGGTTGAGGTAAAGTTGGGACTGCAGTTTGCAAATAAAAAAAGTATTTTATTGTGCCAAAAGTTAAACATTCAATCGAAAAACGCAACTCATAAATGCAGTTTCGGATCGATAATTCAGAAAATAAGTGTGTTTAATCAGAATGCTTTGAATTGAATAAATTATAATATTTTCATGAAATATTACGTGAAAGTAAAAATAAGAAGACTGAGTGGTAATATGTAGAAAATCCTCCGTTTCCTGTTACCAGAAAATACAAAAATATTGTCAGAAATTTTTAAAAATATTTTATTTTTATTTAATGATGTTATAAAACTTTGCGTATATTACTTATGAATCAGTTTCATTGCCAGCTTCCGATGAAAAACATACATATTCAGTCTGTATAGCAGGCGATTATACCACTGTGTGTCTGCAAGACTCATTGAAGAGAAAACTGGTATACCAAAACGCTCACATTTCGTGCAGCGTATTTTAACGATCCACCTAAAATATTAGAGAGTTCTAATATTATTAAAAACTAAAGAATCGGTCAAGCAAATCAGAATGCGGCATAAAGCTGTCAAAAGATGCAAAATTGAAAAAATTAGTGTTTTAGAACAGCCAAATTTGAACAAATTCAATTCATCTTTTGATTCAATGATATTTATCTATAATGAATTCATCGTACAAGATCAGATGGTGAATGATTTGGATGCATTGGATAACATTGGAGTTTTACAAAGATTGAAAACCAGGCAGAATCATCAGGAAAAGGATAAAATGAGTTCAGGTAAGAATTGATAAAATTGATTGATTAAAGTATGACTCGCCTATAAAAAATTACACTAGAAACTAAGACATTTCTATTTATTTATGCATCAAAATATATTGTTACGTATTATTTTTGGATTGTGCGTCAAAACATCATTAAATAAATGCACGTCAATAATTTGCCAACATAAAAATTTTATGTAACTTCTCTAATCTAGGTTCAAGTTACTTTCGGTTTTAAAACCGAATATACATAGATCACCCATATGTCCGTTTCGTTACTCTATGACTTGTATTTTAAGATATCCACCTTCCTAATAATTGTGTCTTTTTAGGGAATTATTTAGAATGATTTGGACGGTAAAGGTAATAACCTTTAAATGATTTTTAAAATATCATACGCCAATATCAGTCCTCGAGCCTAATGCCTTCAATGATAGGTCGACATATTACGATCCATTAGGACGAGGTGTTTTAAATCAATAAGTTGCTGACCCATCTAACATTAAATTCATGCTGTGACGATCCGTTAAGATGAGGTGCTTCGAGTCAGTAGATTGTTAACCACCTAACATTGAGTGTGTCTTGTAGTCTTCAGCTTCAAGTAATATTTTTTTGGTTGATCTGTATTTTTAACTTAGCGGATCGTTCCTCGATTTGGTTTTACGTCTGCATACGCGTTCAATGAGTACAGGTAATTCCATAATGTTAAATTGTTAATGCAGCATATACAACATAAGTATATATTAAATAGACTCAGCCTTATGCCACATTTCTATTACAGCTACAATGAAGTCACGATTTTACTTCAAAAATAATTTTTAAGTATTGATTATCGATAAATCTGTTTTAAATTTTTTTTTCGAATGTTATTAAAACCTGTTAAAAGATTGTTCTTGTTTTATGAAATGATTTTTTGCAGCGAATTAATATCGCTTTGTAACATCTTAATATAAACTTTTCCAATAAATGAATTGGATTAACTTTGCTTTCAAAGTTAATGAATCTGCAAATAGTTCCCTAACGTGTAGCCCTTTTTTGAGCTTTTCTACATTAAGAGCGTTACTGGAAAGAAATATTTTTTTAAAATATTATATGCTACTAAGACTAACTATATAATTGAAAAGATATTGCACAGAATGTCATTTCCTATGCAATACATAAATGATTAAACTTGTTGGCGAACAATTTGTAAGGATTGTATTTATTTTTTGTAAGAGATTTGTACTAAAATTTACCACAAAGTGCAAGTAAAAATCTAGACAACATGTGTTTCTAAAAATAAAGCTAAACAAGAACCAAACCAAACCAAACCATTACATAAAGGCAAAAACAATGTTAAGAGTAAAATTTAAACAACCTTAAAAACCTGTTAAAGTAAACATGTACGCACCACAGCATATCTACCCGAAAGGAAGAATATAAAAGAAATAACACAAAAAAGCACAATATGATATGAAAGACACAGTAAACCAAGTCAAGCCAAGACAAGCCTTGCACTGCTGCAGCACAACACAGCAGAGCAGAGCAGAACAGAGCAAAGCACAGCAAAAGCAGGCAGTGCCCCAAAGGCTGCTCCAACACAGGCACTCACAGATGTAAGTAAGTTCATTTTTGAGTTCAAGGTGAACGTGTGTCTGTCTTTTTGTACGTTCGTCTATCCATTTGTCTGTATTGCTTCCTTTTTTTGTTCCTTCATGTATATATGTATCTATATATTTTATATATGTATTTTTTATAAAATCATATACTAGGGATATGTTGTATATACTTTTACTGTATCTTCGGTTTTTGGTGTTTTTTGTGTACTTTAAATTTTTACTCGTTGTTTTGTGTACTTTTTGTGTGTTTTATTGGCAAAAGAGCAGCTGCTGTTGGCTGATTATTGCACATTTTACTTGGACGACTCCTCTTGGTTGGTGAAATATTTTTGATTTATTATTTTCACGTCAGTTTATTTTGCAGAATTTCCTATAATACGTATGCAGTATAAAAATAAATTATTATTTTCATAAATATATATTGTTTTTTTTGTTTTTTGAATATTTCTAATATCTAATTTGTTCACTTCCTTCTATATAAAAAAAATCAGCTTAGTTTTTTGATCGTGATTTCCTTGTAAATTAATGTGGCATTTTGAGAAAATATGAAATTCAAGTGCAACGACTTTTTTTAAGTCTTTATTTTGTTAATTTAAATTTAAATTACATTTTTTATATAATAAAATAATTTTATACAAATAAAATTTTTTAATTTATTTAATTTAATTTAATTTGTATTCAAATCAAGCAATTTTAAGCCGGCTTATGACAATATTAAATTGTTTAAAATTTAATTTGTCATGTTGTTTTAAAATTTTTTATTGCTGAAATTTTCAGAACTTACTCAGATAAATTTTAAAACTGGGATTCTTAATAAATCAAGATAAAATAATTTTAAATTGTTGTATTAAAATCTGACTGCAAGTAAGCACATTTAATGGTACAAATGTTATAGATTAGAATGAGACTAATAATTAAAATACTTAAAACTTAATGTGAAATTTGGAATTTGTAAGAAAAATAATTAAATTTATTTATTTGCATATAAACAATTTATTCTTATTTTGTAAGTTATTATATTATATAATATAAACAATATTTTTCATTGTATTTTAAACTTTATCTTTTAATCAAGCCTTTATTTTCGTAATTCTTGAATAAATTCATTCTTTAAATTTAAGCAATTTTACGCTCTGTAAAGTCATAATTCTGAGATTTTTGGTTTTAATATTAAACTCATTGTTTATGTACAATTTAATTGCCTTAATATGCCACTTGAGTTCTGTCATGGATGATGCGTAATTTATATATACAATACATCAACAAAGTTACAGTCATACATATAAATTTATTTCCTTTATATATTTTTGCCTTCAATAAATTTTTATGTTGCTATGTCATTCAATTTAATGTTGAGCTCAAGATTAAAACTGTACAGAAAAGTTACAAATTAAATTCCTTGCTTATTGTTAATGTGCTACAATAAGATAAAATAAAATAAAATATATATTTATGTAGTCATACTGAACTTGATTACCAATAGCTAACAAAAGCTTTATGTATTTCGTCAGAAACTCAGTATACTCTAAAATGTTATATATTATATTATTTGTCTGCGTTTGGTAGGCAATCCAAATTATATTATCAAATCTACTCCCATTTCAGCTTAACGTTTTTGCTCCTTACATTACCTACTAAAATTACAATGCTCTTTATGACTACACACACATTTTAAATATTCCTTCAGGACTAACCACTTCATCAAATATTGATAGAAATTTCCATTTCATTTTTACCTTTACAATTCTCATTTGCCTCGTTGTATTTTGATTTTAATTGAAACTCGTCTTTTTTGTTCTTTTTTTTCTATTTTTAATTTTTATTTGTTCCTTTTATGTATCAAAATAATTTTCCCTCTAAAATCAGTCAACTGAAATGATTTTTATTTCACAGGTATTTCCTTTTGTTATTTATTTTTATTTGCAAATTATTCCACGAAATACAAAAATTTTATTTTTTATATTTGGTGACCTTTTGCAAAAAATAAATAAAATCTACGTAAAAATAAGTAAAAATTCAAAAAATCCATAAAAAGGTAGGAAAAGTCAAAAAATCACTGAGGCGTTTTAATTGCGGTTTTTGATAAGTTCAGAATAGGTGTTCCAGAAATGAGTTCAAATAAAAGCTTCACAGAATTTTGGTGTTATTAATATATCAGTTTATTTATGTTTCCCTTTAATTTTAAATTTTGCTTTGAATAAGTTTTATTTCCGTTTTTGTCGTTATAGCTTTTGTTTTCATTTTTGTTCACTGTTTTAATTAATGAATTCTATGTCCAAAATTGAAATACAAAAATAATACAATAAAATAGTTTACATTATTTACAAGTTCAAAGTGTTCTTGAACTTTGTATAGAAATATATTATGTACTCTTAATTTAATGGAAAGTGTTCGTTCCAAAAATCATATTCGTCAAAATTTATTCCTCGTTTAAATTCCAATTGGTTTGAGATGAGCGTATAACCTGTTGGATATGCTGTAGATGGATTTGCAAAAATGTTTCTAAAAATAAAATAAAAAATACATTAATAAATCGGAAACTAATTAAAATATATAATCAAGAAATAATTTCAATGAAATATGAATTAAAATATTGTTGTAAGATCTTCCACCCTATTCATGTTGACTACCTATAACTTGCATCCTAAATATCCTATTATTTTATCCCATATATAGTGGAGATGAACAAAACTATTTAATTAATTATCTTCATAAAAACGAAGAAACCACCTCAACATATATGGTTGGGATAGGTTGGAGTGCCAGTGTCGTTAATCAAAGATTAAGCACTAAGTATAGACTGTAATGACACTGTACATATGTTTACTCTATAAGACCTTAAAGGTTGAAGTCTAAGGCATCACGTATTTTCTTAAATAATCTATAAATATGATTATTTTCCAAAATTTAGTAGATGATTTAAAAAATCAGTTCAGTCAGTAAAAAAAGAGATCTCAAAAATTTATTCACCAAATATTCAAACAAATGAAATATGTATCATATTGATGTAGTAAAAATTCTTTACGCTTACCCTAAAATTTATTGGTATACATTAAGACTGAAAAGTTTTCGGAAATTCTCATTTAAAATTCGCGCGCTGTATATTTTTCGATATTTTAAGTTTATGTAGTTTGGCAGCACTGTCCTTAATTAATATGCCAAAAATGAGCGCGATCTGTCAGACAGTTCGTTTACGGCAGCTGTTGAAACCAGTTCACCTCAGTAGTGCGTTGCGAAATGTCTTCGACGGTCGTACGACCGTCCTGAAAGGCTTTGTACCACTCATAAACTTGAGTTTTCGATAAAACTGATTCCCCATAAGCCTTTTGTAGCATTCGCAACGATTCTGCACACGAAATTTCGTTCGAAACACAAAATTTGATGCAAACTCTTTGTTCAATATTTTTTTCCATTGTTTTTTTCGCAACGCACTACTGAGGTGAACTGGTTTCAACAGCTGCCGTAAACGAACTGTCTGACAGATCGCGCTCATTTTTGGCATAGTAATTGTCCTTAATTGCTGCCAAACCACATAAACTTAAAATATCGAAAAATATACAGCGCGCGAATTTTAAATGAGAATTTCCGAAAACTTTTCGGTCTTAATGTATTAGTAACTAAGTTATCAATATATGTTTGTTTAAAATGATGAAATAACAATAAAAATATAATTTTTTTTCATGCTATATTAATAGTGTCACAGGTGCCTGTCATTATTGCTTAAACAATTAAATAAACTTTTAAACATATATTGAATCTTCTTTCAATTAAATATCGTTTGTTATTCCACTATTGATACTGTTAATCATTATATCAATAATTGTCAAAGTCTGTACAACGCTTTGGTCATCTTTTGAATTTAAATAACAGAGCTTACTCTGTCCGAGTTCTGGATAAAAACTCTGCAAAAAAAATTGCAAAACTATTATCATTGCAGTTAATTCTTTATAACAACAAATATGACACTTTATTGTATCTAAGAAATCGTGCCTCGTAATAATACTATAATAATACTTGTACTCTTAAAGCATACATATAATTGCGTAATCTGTGTAATCTTATTCTATTAGTCTTTTACTCAGCATGTTATTGACAATCAAGAACATTCCTATAACATACTGAGTTCTTCTTTTATTTACATTAGTTTAGGTTATTACAATATTGGAAAAAAAGGGTTACTGTATAAAACTCAAAGGATTTAGAACCATCTAAAATAATGTCCAAAATGATTCTTAAGGAAAATTTTAAAGCTAGTTATAATACGATTACCATAAGAACTATCTTTCTGAAACTTCTATTTTTACTTAACTTACCTGCTTTTGATGAAATCATAAAGGTAATTGGTATAAAGGTTGACTAGATGAGCGTCTTTGTCTTGTTTATTAAATTTGTGTAACTCCGATTCGAATAAATACATAAAATCATCCATGTGCTCTACCCGCGCTGTAAAATCAAAATTAATTTAAAACTTTCTGTTTCATTTAAAAGGTTCTTAAATAGTTAAAATAAATACTTTTTAAATTTGTTGAAAATTTTGAATGGAAGGGTAAATGTTAAATGTTCTTAAGACAATTAATAAATGCCAATAGAAACAGTAGTTTTAAATATTTACTTATATTAAGGAGTAACTTAGTATAAATTCAATATTTTTCAAATATTAGATTATTTTAGGCATTATGCTGAATCTGTAACAGATTCCACGTAGATCACTTATGAGCATGCTATTTTTTTTCGGTGCCCTTGCTTATGCTATCTTATTTGATTTCCCATCCCTTTGTAGTTTTTGATTGTAATTAATAAAGATTGCTATGTTAAGTGCATTTCTAATTTAAGAAGCACCTGCATCGGTTTAATTTGCATAATTTTAAAAATTTTATGAGACTTCCACTATTTCTTTTAGTAGTTTTTAATGGTTCGCGAATAACGAGTTTACTGGATTAGTAGCCCAACTATTTACTTATGTTACGCAAATTATATGAGATGTGTGCTATTACAGTGTATTAGTTCCATATAATAAAGTAATGCACTATAATCTTCTTTTTGTACACTTGTTACAGAAACCAATTACATACATCTTTATAAGTATTTTTCATAAAGTAATTTTCAAAATTCATTCTACCGTTAATCACTTAAATTTACGTAAACTTACATTGATTGGTCTGAAAATTTAAATTACTGTATTCTCCCTTATAGACAAATTTGTATGCATAGACATTTGTATACTTTGAAGCCAGCTTAGCCAGACGTACTGCACCAAAACGTATTATGGCGTCTGAAAAAAGGTTACAGAGTTGAAAAAAATTTGTTGCTCCTTCTGTACTATTTTTCAGGTAATATGATTTTATAGCAGCATTTATAACATCTTTATTACTGTTTCTTTCATACATAAAAATGTGTGGTGCCAACTCTTCAAATTCTGCATAAAAACGTTGTTCAAGTCTCTGATTTTTCACTATGTCTGCAGCGGAAGTGCAAAATTCCCCATCAGTAAAACCATACAAAATTGGTATCTTATGAAATTTGCCTGTACGCAATTGCTCATAAAGAGTGTCAGTATAGAATCGCTCCTGTCCGAAATCTGCTTCCACAACTGGTAACCACAAATAAATAGGATTATCCTTGCCAAAAACGAACATGCCGCGTAAAGTTGCTGCAATTTCTGCTCCACCAAATTTATTTAAACAGTTTAAAATACTTTCTGCAGTGCTTAATTGAGTTGCTCTACAATTGAGCAGCTTTATTTGTCTGGAAGCCAATTCCATTTGTGTACTTTGTGGTAATGTTGCTTGCGGTGGTAAAGATCCGCTCATTAGAATAGCTTTGTGAAATAATTCAGCACTTAATGGTGAAGTTAAATGTAAGCTAATGCTAAGTGCACCCGCACTATAACCTATGAGGGTAACGTCTTTCGAATTACCACCAAAGTATTTAATATAGTTCTGTAACCAACGTAAAGCGAGTACTTGATCTTTAAAGCCTGCATTGCCTGGTATGTCAGAAGTACCTAAATTTAAATAACCAAGCGCACCTAAACGATAGTTGAACGTTACTACGACAATTGGTTTTGAAAGCAAATACTTGGGTCCTGCGAAACTGCTCAGACCAGATCCTATATATAAACCGCCTGGATGCACTAGTACTAATACAGGTAAATTAGCTTCATGGTTGAGCTGAAAATAAAATTTAAGTAATAAATTTATGTAATAATGTTGTTTTTATATATATTTAAATTTTTGTTTAGGTTTTATTTATTTTTTATTTTTGAAATATTTTTATTTATTAACAGTAATAATAATAATTATTATTAATTATTGGATAATTATATCCATTATATAATAAATTTTTTATGCGAAAATTTAATTTTTAAAGAAGTAAATTCTTGGGCTGATCATATAGTCCAAATATATGATTACTGCTAACTGAAGTATCTCAGTGGTTTTTGGAAATATCTTACATTTAATTGTTAAGAGTACGTTGCTTTGTATGTTAACATCCGAGTCAATAACTCCAATTTGATAGGACTCAACCCCGGACTATTATAGTCCAAAAAATTATAAACTTACAATTAAACCAATATAATTAATTACTTAATAAATAATAATGCATTTGTTTTTTTGTTTATTTTTTGTCATAAGTCTATTAAATATATTGATTTTTTAAAATAACTCAAGTATACTTTTATTTGTTATTTATTTTTAAGTCTTTATCCATTATTATTTTTATTTATCTATACTTTAATGGGTACTCTTAAATTTTATTTAATTTTAGTTTTTAATTTACTTTTAGTTTTTTGATTTTGCTCACTTGTAAGTTATTTGTTTGTTTAAACTTATATTAACATATATATATTGGAATCATGCTTCTATTGAATTGTAGGCTATATTATATTTTATTTAGTATAATTTTTTAATTATTTAAATTTTATCTCTTTATATTTTTGATTTTTACCAATACTAATTGCGTTTTAAGGTGCATTTACTTGATAATTGGCTATTTTAACGAATTTATGTTACGACTTTTTATATTATTTATTGAATATTAAAAGAAACTCATAACTTCTAATGTACTTACAGTTTTTGTATAAATATTTATTGTTAAACAGTTTTCGGAGGAATTTGTAGCATATATAGAGGGACAATCATGACCATCATATCTGGCATCTATAATTTTCGGCATTTCTATAAGTGTTTTGGGGTCCTATAATAAATTGATTTCTAATTCAATGAACAAATTCAGTCTCTAATATACTTTTTTTAATATACAAATAGTATATTAATATAATAAAATAATTTTTTTCTTTATTTTTATTATCTTAAATAAGATTTTTGTTCTTAAAGCTTACCTTAAAGCGAAGAGTTCCAGTTGGTGGTTCAGCATACGGTATGCCACGAAAACTGTAAAATGTATCATTATTCCAAGCTGTGCTAATGGATCCTAATACTGTTGTTGTCGAATTCTTCCATATTATTGTTACACTTGGTATGTCGTCAAAGACTTCAGAGTTTGAATTTTTCAATATGACTAAATTTATTAAAATAAAAATTATAATCTTAAAATACATTCCAAAACGTACTACACCATCTGCACTTGTACGAGCAACTAACAAATCGGGCTGAATATAATCTCAGCTGTAGTATTTCAAATATACACCCTTTTATCTTTCAGCGTTGTATATTGTTTAAGATAAAAAAAATTTATTTAATTTAAAGATATCAGGCATTTCACTAAAGACATCAGACATTAAAAAAATATAATTAAAATCAAAAATTATTTTAATTTGTTAATAAAATACTTGTTCTTTGATGATTTTATTGCATTTTATTGACTGCACTCACCGAAACTTTATGATTATTTACTTTCGTTCTTTCCTGCTGTTTAAACATACAAATTAAGTGCAATTACACTTCAATTAAACTATCAACACTTCAATTTCATGTGTGGTAAAACAAAACTCTTCCATAACATTTACATAAATAAAAATTGCGATAAATATTTGAGTCATATACGAATAATATAATCCGCTATATTATGAGCGATATTTAATTTTTTTTTTTTTGAGTTTTTATGATAAGCTGAATGTATTTGAAAAAATATAGATGGCATATATGTGTATATAGTCATTTCTTTTGTTTCTGAGCATATTATATTATAGTTGGAAATAAATGAGCAATTATTGCTTATTTTATAATTTATAATATTTATAATTTATAATATTACACTAATTTTATTTAAACTATTTAAACCTTAGTTGTTTGACTTTTTTTAAATTATTGAAAACACATTCATACACATTCATAACTCAATATATTGGCTAAAATAACACTTCTATATGATATATTTTAATTGATTTTAGGCAGTAATGTATATAATATGTAATATATGTAATATGTAATATGTGCAATATATGTATGTTAAACTTTATTTAATTGTCATAACCATTCGTGTCCGGGCTTCGACTTGACGCAGTACTTTTCTTCAGGCTGCTTTGGTGAATGCATATTTTTCTTCGGAGTCCTGTATAAACTTTGGTTATTGTTCCCTTAATTTAATCACTCCATGTAAGACATGATCTTCATGCTTAAGTAAAATTACGTGTATGATATTAACATAATAAAATTCAAGACTGTTGACAAAACATAGCTTAAATTTTTTGATTCAAGTTATTCATAGTTTATTTTATCCTTTCTTCCTATTTCATGTTCCTTTCTTCCTTTATTTATTTTTGTCTATCTTAGTTAATGTTCTATTTTCGTTCACTTTTTTTATTGTATTCCTTTAACAGTGTAATTATTTCACTATATTTGTAATATTATTCCTTTGATAATAATTAGATACTCACGATATCTGTACAAATGCACTTTTTTTAGAAACAAACTACAATGTTATATTTATTAATTATCTTGAACTAAAATATCTACTAAAAGATTGTAATATAAATACCTTGCTTTTTTTTTTAATTTTACATAATAAGAATCTGTTTCTTTTTCAAATGCCACTTGGTTTTCAATCATAAATATTCCTTCTTCTGATCACCTATTTACATCATTTGTTTCCTATAATATAATATTTCCTATATTGAATATTCGTTTAAATGTTCTTTCTTATTGAACATCTAATGAACATACTTATATAAAATTGATTATACGTAACTGAATTAAAACAATGTAAGAATCAGTGTAGGAAGTTTAAAAGGCTATTATTATTTATTAAAATTTGCAACTTTTTCTAACTGATAATATGGGTTTTGTGGGGAGAAGTATGAGACACGTACTAGAAATGAGACCTTCTAGAAGTGAGACCTGTTCTGATGTACAGTTGAAAGAAGTACCTACGTTGGCATATTATATTGCATGAAAATGCACCACTTGGAGAACTAGATTAAATATTGAAATGAATGGAGAAAGTCAGAATCAGAAAAATTCTTTAAACCTATGAAAGGGGCATGGTAGAAATCGTAGTCCAGAACCATTCAACTTAGTAATAAAAATATTGTTTATCTTTAGTTATTTATTATATAGACTAAAAATCATAAATTTATTTGAATTTCTCTTTAATCTTTTAAATTTAATGCATGTTAAGTAGTTTTTATAATAATCAAAGTTTTATTAAATTCTGTCAGCATTATCATATTCATACAGCACACAATGTAATCCTCGTACATATATATTTTTCCAAGCAGATTTGAAAATATATGCAACTTCTTCCCCGCAATTTTATTTTGTCTCTGCGTTCAGAATAAGCAAGTTCACTTAGTATCTTTATTTATGCTCATTATGTATTAAAATTATGCTAATTTTAATAAATCTTTCATGCCAAATGTAAAGCACACATAACAATAAAAAATTATTAAAAAAACAGAAAAGAACTTTTGAAGAAATGAGAAAAAAAATTAAAAAAATAAATTCCATATAAAAACATTTTTCATTGCTGGCATATAAGGGAATCGCACATTTTTCACACATGAGGTGCCTGTAAAATGTGAGAATGTGTATCTCAACTCACTACATTACGCATGGAAAATGCGTTTATTGAGGCGTTCAATTGTGAAGAAAAATAAATATTACAGTGCCAGCGTAAGGCAATGTAAGGCAGTGTAAGGCAGTGTAAGGCAGTGTAAGGCAATAAGACAGCTGCTTGTTGAGTTGTCGAATGTAACCATCCGTCCAACTCTTCGCCTGTCTACCATTTGTTTCTTTAAGATTTCCCCAAAAGGGCAATGTTGTTAATAAAAAACAAACAAAAAATACGCATAAAATTATATATTTTCTCAATTCGGTATTGCTTATTTATACGAGTAGAGTGAAATGTTTTTTGCCTCAACATTATCTTTTCATAAATTTTAGAGTGCTTCGACCCGACCCTTCGACTACGGTAAATTTGTCTTCGCTTAAATTTATGAAAATATTTGACATTTTTAAACTTTCTTAATATTTGATTTAATTTGTCAAACAAAATAAACAAAATAAACAAAAATATTTGTTAGAAATTTTCAGATCCCTTGTCCTCTTGCTGCGCACCTTTTCACTTCGTTGTCCTTCGATAGACAGTTGAATTTGAGAAAGTTTTTGTATTTCGTTAAAAACAAATGAATCAAAGTGAAAAGTTGTAAAAAGTAGAAAAACTTAAAAAATTTTAATTGGGTTTTGTTAACATAAAAATCTTACATCAAAATTTTATTGCTATTTCTGTGGCATAAAGCAACCAGCAATATAATCCTTTAAATCCTTTTTTACGAGCTTCCATGTGTTGCGACATGAGCCAGTGAGTGCTTTCGTGTTTGAAGCACTTAAGCTTATTACAAGCGGTTGATGAGCGTACACATTGAAGGGATCACACCTGATAAAATTGTGCCAGTGGTTGTATTTTAAACCTATAAAGAACCCAACTAAAAGCTTAAGTTTGTATGAGCGAAATTTATGAATTATGAAATTTTAATTTGACATAAACTGAAAGAGTTAAAATGTTTTAGGTTCTTAATCAATATCAGGTGAACCACTTTTAATTTAAAAGCACTAGTAAAAATAAATTACATATTTTAATAGCAAACAGTTGACAAGCCAGGAACGGTAGAGATATTTATAAATTAATAAAAATACATACTCTTATAAATAAATACACTTTAAGAAATTTTTTATAAACTTTTATATTTTTATCACTTTTTATTTCTATTACGTTTTTAAAGAATTTTTATATAGCCGCAATTTTTGCTCAATGTTTCTATATACTATATTTGTCATTTATATTATATGGATTCTATATTATATGTCCATATATTTTTCTACATATTTTTGCTAGTTGAAACTTCAAGAACTTTAATGCTTTTACATTATGGTTTATAAATGTTTTATATTATGCATTTTCTCATATTTTGCGAATATCTTATTTTTACTTAAATTTTCTCTTTCTACCGTCCCACCAATGCGGTTCCACTCAAGTGGATTTTAAGTGCTCCGAAACTGCATTTAACTTACACTTCTGATTTCGAAACCCATTTAGCGGTTCACCTTGAATGCTTTGTAAAGGCAGTGGGTTATTTGTTATTGCAAGCTCAACAATTAGTTCAGTTTACTTGAACATTTTAGTCTGCAATTACGGTTAAAAAATCTCAAACGGGGGTGTATTCAAAAGTATTATAAGCATTAAAGAACAGTGAGAACTTTGCAGAGATGCTTTATGTTGTGTAATGTTTCATATATACATTATATCACCTATTTCCTTTATAATTTTTTCTGTTTTATGCATTAAAAAGATATAAATTTGGTTTTTTTTTATATATATTACTATCTCTATATTTTTTTATATACATTGAAAGAAGTTGATCCAGTTAAATAAATAACCAATGTAAATATACGTTTTTGGCAGACAGGAAATATTATTTCAATAAACAGTTGAATGAAAAATAAAATTAGGTGTCTACATATTTCGACAAAACATATAATCCATTTCATGGATTTAATTTGGCATCACTAGTTCATTGATATATATCAAACAAAACTGTGATCTAAGGTATTATACCTTTAATATAAGATTTGTCATTTTACAGTGTGGATCATACAATGAGTAGAAGATAATTTGATTAAGTTCGGATGATGATTTTTCTCATCTAACTCATTTGTCGGTTGATGGGTATAACAACACATAAATTTAGCGTATAGTGAAAAGAAAAAAGTATTTGTCGAAAGTCCATTATGTTCACAAAAAATCATATAATCGCCCTACAACAATTGTTTAAAAGTCTGATAGGCCTTTCATGTCTTCAATATCGAATGTGTGACACAAGCTGGTAATTCTATTGGTTACAGCAATATGTTACTAATTCTTATTTAGCGCGAAATTTATGCCAAAATTTTTGTTTTAACAAAACGACGTACAGCTCATGAAACATATCCTTTTTTAGGTTTATAATATGAGAAATTTACCGAACATGTCATATCACATTTTCGTTATGTGAATTGACCATCAAGATTATGAAATTTTTTTATCGTGGAACTGGTTATTGTGAGTTAATGAAAAAAATTATATTAAAGTGGACTCAAACTTGCAAAGCTTTAATAACGAACATTTGTTATATCCTAGTCTAGCTG